GCAATTATTCGTCTTTAACAGCTCACAAACCAGCTGATCCAAGAAGCAGCGTCTGCAACACAATTTGAAGACTACAATCATCAATCGGTAAGTGCTTTTTTAATTGAGTCACCAAAAACACATTTACATTTACACATCTGTATACACCTCTATTGTAATCTTAAAATTAATCTTTTAATTCAAAATGACCGAAATCGAACAAAGACTAAGATTACTCAAAATAAAACGTAATTCAATTAAAGATGAAATAAATCATTTACACTATTATCTAGAAAATTATAATAAAGACACACAATTCGTTGAGTTGCAAATACGCCAAAAAAGATTTGTAACTAACTTCGGAAATTTTGATCAAATTTGTGACGAAATTACTTTAATAGAAGATAACGCAGATAATTCAACCGAGAAAAATGACATTTTGAATGATTATTTCGCTATATTGAGTAAAATTCAAGAGCTTATTTCCGGACCCTTAATGCAAAATAATTCAGACTTGATTAGCGTTCACTCGGTAAACGGATCGAGTAACTCTTTAAATTCACGGAAACGCAAACTCAAGCTACCACATGCAAAAATTCCAAACTTTTCGGGTGATCGTAGCAAATGGCTTTATTTTAAAAATACTTTTATTTCGCTAATTCACGATGACGAAGAATTATCCGACAAGGATAAGTTCGCGTTACTGCAAACCGCGTGCTCGGGCGATGCTGAAAAAAAGATAATAGATTTTCTAAATGCGGAAACCGATTATAATGATGCGTGGAAGACACTAGTTAAGGCCTATGAAAGTAAACGCTCGTTGATCGCGGAGCATTTATCAAAAATACTTAATATGCCTAAGCAAGATTGCAATGATCACAAAAGTCTGGAAAATCTTGTAGACACAGCGCGAGTGAGCATAATGGCGTTAGAAAACTTAGGTGTTAAATTATCAACCTGTCCGGAGATAGTCGTAAAAATAATCGAAGACAAGCTATCTCAGGAAACTCGCGAAAATTGGGACAAGGAATGCGAGCGCGATAAATTTCCAACTCTTGAAAAAATGCACGATTTTTTGTATAAGACCGCCGCTATGATATCAATGCGAAAACATAAGTTCTCCTCGAATAAAATCAATTATCACGATTTGCCGAATAAAACAAGAAAGATCGAATATAAACAGTCTGCTACAACCTTTGTCACAACCGCAAAAATATGTCCAGCTTGCTCTAATGGATATCACCCATTGTATAAATGCAGTAAATTTCTAGAGTCGACTGTTTATAACCGAATCAAAATTGCAGAACGGGCAAAGTTATGCAAAAATTGTTTGAGACATCATGGTCAGAGCGAGTGTCAGTTTGGAGGCTGCAAAACTTGCGGTAAAAAACACAACAACTTGCTTCACATACAAAAATCTTATACTTTACAGGACAGTCCGTCTGACAAAAGAACAGAAAACCCCCAAAACGCTTGACTAAATGATCAATGCTTGTCAATAACAAAAAATTTAAACTTATTTAATTTGATAACTAGCACTCGAGTCATAACATAAAATAATTTTAACAAACCTCACACATGCATAACTTTATTACGGCAATTTTAGCTCATAAACTTGATTTAAATAAAAAATCATGTTCACTTACAATTGGAGCTATGAATGAATTAAATACAAGTTGTATTATACAACTGCTTATTATTACACTTAATTAACTTATCAATCCATATATTCAGAATTTAAAGAATCATTAACATTTTTATTGTACCAAAAATTACCGATGCATGCAACTCCAAGCGACACGGTTCAAACTAAAATTACCGAATTTTAAAAAACAGCACCGGTTGACTTGTTAATCGGGGCTGGACCATCACTTTCCTTATTTTGCACAGGTCAGATTAAACTACCGGAAAATAATTTAATATTACAAAAAACTAAACTTGGTTGGTAACAAGCGGCGGTGTAACTATAATTAATAACAGTAAGCATTCTACATGTATGTTGACGGAATTGCAATTTAATTTAGAAAAATTTTGGACGATTGAAGAATTACCGTTTGATAAACAATTAAAGTTTTCCAAAGCAGAAATCGAATGTGAAAATCACTTTAAGCCACAGTTATCCGAAATAATGATGACAGATATGTCGTCGCGCTGCTTTTTAGATAAACAGTCACTAATTTAGGCAAATTTAAAACTATTTCACTTAAAAGATTGACATATTTAAAAAGAACTAAAACTTTGAGGCTGAATACACTAAAACTTTGACCTTAACAAGGGCCTATGTCTCCAATTCAAATTAAAGCTTTTAAAATTAATTCGGGTTTTTATTTAAGCCATGACGTTCTGGCAACAGAATCAAGGCCATTCCGCAAGGTAGTAGTTGACTTTTAGGAACCCTTTTTCATTAAAGAGAAAAGGCGTCGAAACACAAGTTTCATTTAATGTTATGTTGCAATCTTTGTAGGTACGACAGTCAAAGCAGCACATATCAAAATTGCAAACGATTTGACAACCGAATCTTTTTTAGCTGCTTTAATTCGTTTTACTTCTAGACGTGGTTTGCCAGAAGACAATTATTCTGACAACGAAACTAAATTCCGAGGCGCGAATACTAAACTCAACGAATTTGATCTTTTACGAAACAAAAAACTTAAAACTGAGGTCAAAAAATTTGCAAGCAAACATAATGTACAATGGCATTTTGTTCCTCCGCATGCACCTAATTTCGGCAGTTTATGTGAAATTATGGTTAAGCAATTCAAACACAATTTTAAAAACCTTTACAACACAAATAGAAGCGATTCCCAATTCGAGACCTTTAACACAAATGTCCACCGATGTAAATGATTACACAACACTCACACCCGGACATTTTTTGATTGGTGACTCATTAAAAAGCCTACCTATACACAATCATCGACAAGTACCAATAAACCGCTTAAGTTCGTGGGAAAACACCAATAAATTAATACAAGAATTTTGAAATATAACAAATGACACAATGAATATTTGACTAATTTAAATATACGTTATAATAAACAATCGAAAGGAATTAGATTTAAAAGTAGGTTTATTGGTACTAGTCAAAGATAATTTACAAAGCATGCAATGGGACTTAGGACGAATAGAAGAAGTACATCTAGGTCAGATACAATTGTAAGAGCGGCCACAATACATACCAAAACTAGTATTTTCAAAAGGCCCTTTTCAAAATTAGCGATCCTTCCGATCTAAAGTCGATAATGTTTTATTTTTCCTCTTTAACCAAATATTGTAAAATCAATTAAATTTAAACATTGTGCAATGTCAATACACAATGACATTAATGTTATTTTACTTAAACTTATTACTATTATGTTACTTAAACTTATTTATATTTTGTTACTTAAACCTATTAATAGTATGTTACTTATACTTATTTTATTATGTTACTTAAACTTGATCGTTACTCTCTCAAGGGGGGGGAGTATGAACGAACACGTTCAATTCGGCGTTATTTTTACCTTTACTTATTTTATTATATAATAATACGTTTTTATTTTCATGTGTAGTGCAATAAAACACTGTCAATTTAATGTGTTTTATAAAACAATATTTACAATATTTAGATACTATAAACAAAATGTTACCAAGAGGAAATGCGACGTATACAAGTTTCTTGGTGCTTTCAAAGACCACACAAGAAACGGAGAACTGCGTCATATTTTTTCTTATATTTAAAAAGGGCTGACTACTCAGTTTTCTCTGTAAGAGTGGCAGTCTGCTCTTGTTATTTTCAATCAGTTATTCATTAGCATTTAACCGAGTATCATCTCTGTATTAAAATAAATACATCTAATTTTATTAAGTTGTGTTTATTGAACAACGTTCCTGTTGCACCAAAATTCAGTCAACAAAATTCGCATACGGAAAATGTTTTCATGGATTAGTTTTCAAGGAAACGTACTTAAGCTCAGTACAATAATTATTGAATATATTATTGAGTAAATCTTATTTTTCATTGGAATACATCCCAATAATTTGCCTATATTTAGTAAAACTGACTCAACAAAAACATGTGCCTGTTTACCAGACATTTTTCTACAATACATGTATTGTATTGCAAAACAATTAATAAATAGAAGTACATTTAACGAATTAATTACTTTCGGCTTATATATATAAATATATAAATTTTTAATATGTACTAATAAATTGGAAAATGATAATTTAATAAATATGTAAAAACAATTAGGAAAATTATATTTGTATTTAAAATCATTAAAATTATTAATTCAAAGGTGAATTTTGTTGAATAATATTGAACAAGGGATGCATTTATATAGACCAAAACTTTGGTTAAACTTGAACATAGAAACAAAAACAGTGGCCATCCAAAAATCGTGTTGAAGTCAGCGACATAATTTTCGTTGACCCTTATTATTCGCTCCATTTTGATCAGTTTCTTGGTAAGCTCATTGCTCATGATGTTGCAGTTTTTCTTTATCAGACCATCCAAGTCTTCATATGCTTGATGAATACTTCGTAAAACCGAAACAATTTGTAAATAAAAATAAAACTCGTAGAGAAACTCCAAAAGGAATATGCTATGAGTTTTAAAGAACTTCTTCTCCATCATTGCCAGTACAAATGTTTGTAGTGATATGTAAATTGCACATGGTACGAAAAGGTGACAAAAGTATGACTTTAAATTTCTGCCTGCACTTTGAAAGCACAAACGATTGAATTGTGCACATATTTCTCTATGTTTGTTGGTGAAAAAAGTGTAGAGTATCACCAGCAAGCTTGCGAATACCAATTCGGAGTAGTCCAGAACTATAAAGGTTTCATAATCAAAATAGTCTGTGCGAACAATATGAAATCTTTGTAAGACAGAATAAACAAACAAAGCTATAATAGCCCCAGATATAATAATTGAATATATTATTGAGTGAATCTTATTTTTCCATGGAAAACACCCCATCAATTTTCCTATGTTTAGTAGAATTGACTCTACAAAGAGATGTACGTTTTCACCAGGCATTTTGTCACAACCAACTATTAATGAATTAGTTTATATATCGATTTTAAATACTAATAAATTAAAGAATTCAAGGGTAAAAAATAATTAAAAACTACATAACATTTATTTTTCAGAATTTTTAACAAGTATTGCAACCTTCAAAAAAGTGGCGAAAATAGAGGCCAAGCTGTTTTCTTCATTGAATAATTTTTTTAACACGTCACCTATTGTCACTCAAATTAAAGATTTGATGGTAATTATTTGACATTAGCTGTATAAATAATGTAAAATAAAGTACAAGCACTTGGACACGTTTTCCTACTTAGTCACGGGAAATTTAATAATTTCCTAACCACATTTGCTATTTTTTGTTATTGACGCACCCTTAAAATTAGTACCTTTTAAGATTAATTAATTATTTTAAGATGCCTTCTAGATTGTTGCCGAAATGTCTAAAACCAAAAAAATATAAGATTGTAATGTGAGTTCACATATAAAAAAAAAATGTTGTATGTTTTTTCAGACAAGGCAGACCACGTTGCCAGATCAACCGACAAATGGCAGAATTTCATCAATGGAGGAAACGCAAAGAAGATGCACTATATTTCGTGAAAAAAATGATGAGCTAGCTTAGAATACGATGCTATCGTCGAAACACAGCGGCGTATCAAAAAGTCAAATGAAAGGTATGTTAATTTATGGTACACTGTTTAAAATATCTGTGGTGTGAAGAGTAATCTTAAAATGGTGTCAAAATCCAACACCAAGTGGTGTTAATATAACACCATGAATTATGGTTGAAAATGTTTTATACAGCAAACACCAAAACGGTGTTTATCTAAAAATATTTGAGAAGTGCACCTACAGAGAAAAAAAGGAATAGTTCATTTAACTATATTAATTTAGTTGACCCATAAGTATTTATTTAAATCAACTGTGGGAAGGTTAATATAAACAAAGATTAGTTTGACGGTACTAAACCAGATAGTTATTTTTTTTTAAATTGGTTAAATTAACCCAGAAAACTTTAGTGAAATCAACCCGTTGTATGGTTCAGTTTACTAAATATGTTTTTTGTAAAATAAGAGTTACTTCAACCTAAAGCACTCTGTTAAAACGATTAAAACAATTTGCCGTGCATTCCTTGTTGCATAGTGTTCCGATCGCGGCAAAGGCGGTGTGGATCACGTGATGTTCTTAAATCTCGCCTCTGTTGACTTACATGAAGAGTATATAAGCTCAGGTTGTCCTTTGCTTTGGTGTGACACTACAAGTTGTTCGATACTAAAGAGACCTTAAATAGGTGGAAACTGCTGTCAATATTTAAAATATTTTAAGTTAGTGGAGCGCACTAAAAACATTATCTCTAGCGAGTTGAAGGTTCAATTTTTTGGAATAATACCACTGTTTCCTTTTTTTTCCTTTTTTTCTGTGTATACACATACTATAGTATTATTTAATTTGACCAAAAACACATTATATTTAACACTGAAAAGGAGTTCAATTTACACCAGGTAAAATTTATTTTAATACTGTCTGAAAGTTAAATTTACACCATTTTAGTATTTGAATTTACACTGGACCAACGAACCATATTTAACACCATTTTGGTTTGTATCGATATAGACCATGTATGGTGTTAATTTGGTGTTAAAATGGTCATGAAATTTTGAACAGTGTGTAGTAACAAGTTGCTTATCAAATTTTTACAGAGTTTCGTGAAGCATTTCGTCTTTTTGACAAGGATGGAGATGGTTCGATCACCAAGGAAGAGCTAGGGAGGGTTATGAGATCTCTGGGACAGTTTGCTAGAACTGAAGAGCTACAACAGATGCTCCAGGAAGTTGATGTAGACGGTAAAAGAATATCACTCAAGTTTTCACCTCAAAAACTCACTGTTGATATCCTTTAGGTGATGGTAACGTAAGCTTTGAAGAGCAGAGATAAAGAAGGTTAGAGAAAGCTTTCTCTCTTTGTCTTCAAGAGAATTGTATTTTAAGCGCGTCCCAAATACATTGTTTTTTGGCAGGATAGAAATCTGTAATTTTTTTACCCGGTAAATTTAATTATATTGTGGTTTTAGCATATCGTCACCTGAGAATTATAGTGTTCTATATGCATTTTTTTTTAAATTGAGGTTAGTCTTGTTTTAAGTCTTATAGATGCATATTGTTCTATCTATATATAATTGGGGTAGAAATTGTACAGTTTAAGGCTTAAACTGTACAATTTCTACCCCAATTATATATAGATAGAACAATATGCATCTTTAAGACTGAAACCAAGACTAACCTCAATTTAAAAAAAATGTATATTGAACACTATAATTCTCAGGTGACGATATACACTGTATAGTAAGTATATGGGTTTTAGCTTTGGTTAGATCGCAAGTAAAACAACTAATGTAATAAAACATAAGTTTATTATAAGAATTATATACAAATATAAAAAATAACAATAATTTAACGGTTAAATTACATTTTAACCCTTTGTGGTCGAACTTTAAGAAGTTTATTATACAGGGTGTGGCATAACACCTGATAAAACAGCTTCACCAGTGTTATCTGGAAATATTAAAATTTATTAATAAGTCAGTAAAACAATGTTTCATTAAAATAAGTACCATGTTTAACTGGGCTGTAATTAGATGTTAGTCTTCTACAAGTTTTTCCATACACCCTTTTGATTTCCTTAACTTTTAAAACTGGACTACTAAGTTTAGATGTTGAGGGACCAGCTATTTTATCACCAACATGCAGATTTTTGAGAATTTCTATAAAAATATATGGATATAAAAATTATATTATTGAATTATTTTAATACAAACTTTTCACTTTTTCTGGAGTTGCTTGTAGTCTATCTGTGGTTCTGGGCAGAAAAAAACAATTTTCCAATGAGGGTTTCTTATAATCTAAAACATATAAATTAAAAAAACTTTATTGGATTAGTCCAAAAGGCTAACAACCTTAGTCTTTCTGCTCATTTACAATACATAAATTAAAAATATATGTAACATAAATTACATAGTATTACACTCTAGATTATGCTTATTATTCACTTGGATGATTTGACTCGTCTAGCAACTCAAGACTTGTGAATAATAGCCTCTATTATGTCTCGTATAATAATATACTATTATATTGTCCTTATGTAGTAACAGTTTTCAATATGTTTAATGAAAACAAAAACAAAAATAAAAACTTCAGCACCCTAAAAGTTTATTAAAAACCAAGCTTTTTAGGGCATACATTTATAAAATAATGAACTTTTTGTCTTAGAATTAATATTTATGAACCATGATAAATATATTATAAAGTTTGATTTTAAATGAAGTAACTTAATTAACATCATTAATTTACGGATCAAACTCAGACATTGTTTTGTATTTCCACGCCCAGGCACGCTAGCCATGGAGCAATGGCATACAGAAATACGTTTGTTGAAAACCAGGTTTAAAATCTAGGACGAAAGTTACTTCTTTTAAAAATTGAACTGTATCTGCTTTTTCTTAGTGCTATTATAATAATTATAATTATTATTCTTACATACCTGGTAAATTTAAAGTTGGTAAGGAATACTTTCGTAAGCGTCCTGATTCTTCAAAACAAACATCAGCAAAATGTAACTTACAAACCCTAAAGTTTTGCAAGTCTTCTTGAAGCACCAGCTTCTCATTTCTTATTCGCTCAACCCAAATTTTTCGAACAAATTTGTCCGTTGGTATGTTAAACCTATAAATAAATGATTATTATAAGTTAATCTAATCTAAACTAATGTTTGTATCATGTTTATAACTCATTTATTGAATCCCAGGTTTCCAATTTTTTATCTGTTAAACAAACTTTACATGATCAAAAGGACTTACCTTGATGAAGTTTTATCAATGCACCTTGGAACACAACACGTTTTTAGTCTTTTAACCATATTTAAATCAGTTTTAATACTTAATACAATATCACAAGCTTTTTACAAAAAAAGTCACAAACAAACATATATTATAAAGCATAGAAAAAGGATAAAGGTCACACATAAAATGGCTGTTTTTCAGCACTGCCAATATTAGAAAAAACTATGTTGCCAACATATGTTTGTTAAAATCCCTGTACGTCATCGCAAACAACGACATCTATTGGAACGTCCCATCACTAAACTTGGGACTTTAATCGAAATAGCACTGCACACCCCCTGTTGAAGAGTTCGTAGACATTGCTTGGACAGCTGGTGCTGGATCTGGTCCAGACCATATTTTATCCAGAGAAGAAGAAGAAAAGGAGTTGAGGGATGCTTTTAGAGTTTTCGATAAACATAATAGAGGTTACATTACCGCTTCCGACTTAAGAGCTGTCCTTCAGTGTTTGGGAGAAGACCTATCAGAAGAGGAAAGTGAGTTCTACTTATTCAACTCAACTATTCAAACTATATTGATTGTTTGTATTATTTTTAGTTGAGGATATGATCAAAGAGGTCGACGTCGATGGAGATGGTCGTATAGACTTCTATGGTAAGAAATATCTTTTAAATTATAACTTACATACATAGGTATGTTTTTTTTAGAATTTGTCAATGCCCTTGGTGAACCTGGAACTGAAGACAGTTTAGATGAAGAAGAAGATGATGTCAATGGTTATTGAGGAAAAATGTGATTTTTGAAAAATATATAGGCATATCTTACACTACTTATAATAAATTTAATATTTTATCTTCCAATAATTGTTTAGTATCTAAATAAGTATTTTACTAATAACTACCAATATGCTCAAAAGTCTTAACTCAAAAATGTTTCAGATATATATGGGTGATTCTACAAAAGTTGGGCAACTTTTGACCTCATTTTGTTTATATAGTTTTCGGAAAAAATAAAACAGTATTTTGTTATGATAGATAATATAATAAATATACTGTTCCAGACCGGGCCAGTCACTTTTTCAAACAGTTTCCGAAGTATCTGTAAATTTTCTAAAATTGAATGCAAGGGAAGTGACGAGTATACCAGGAGTATAAGATTTATTGCAACTTTGAGCATATTATACATTAAATATCTTAAAATCAAATAATACAACACATCAGTGGCGGCTGGTGGATTTTGGGTATACCGATATCTCAATTATTAGATATGGGACCCACACCAAATTTATATGAGTTTATAATGACATTATATAAACAAGTTTGCGAAAAAAAGATAACCGAAACATCGAACATGGAACTGACGACACGGTACTGATGAATGGGATACAAATTTGAGATTATAATTCGGAATTAAGTATTTTACTGATATTTTTTATTAGTGGATGCTACTTATCAACAAATCACATATAGCCTTATTACAATGAACTATATATACGTAAGAAAATAACTACTCACCACAGTACTAAAATTTTCACTGGAACTATACGTGCATTCACCACAACTTCGCCGCTTGCATTGTTTTTAAGATGACTGTCGTGCAAAGGGCGGGCTCTGTAGGTAATTTTTTACCAACACTTGAGTTAAAACGAGGACTTGACGTTTAAACTTCAATATTTCGCAGAAATTTTGAATTTTAACTTTGGACACAGAACTGACGGGTAAAAGTGTGTACAAAGATTATCAATTTTTTAAAAATTGCTATTATTCGAATTTATCATAAAATATGAAAAATACATTATTTAATGTTTTATACTTTGTAGTGAAATTGAAATATTTAAGATAAATTTAATGTATTTTAAAATAAAATCACTAAAATAGTTGATTCAGGAGTTGTGACACGCCAAGGTACTGATGTTTTAAAGTATCAAGTTGTCCAACTTTTGTAGAATCACCCATACCTATATGTTTGTGAAATTAAGACTCATATAAACTATAGTTATATATATATATATTATATATATATACACAGTGTCTCACGAAAATTCGTTCTTCATAAAAACTTGTTGATTGTTTAAAAATGATATTTCCATATATAAGTGACATCAACTGTGTTATTTTAAATAGAACATGCTGTATATATATATATATATATATATATATATATATATATACCTACATATATACCAATTGTATAATCCAATCGAACATTATAATGTTTAAATTTTTTATGTTAGTTGGAAGATTAAACTGATTTGACTCTTTTAAAAAAATTTCTATTTACAGAAAATGAAAAAGAATATAAAATTTCAAAATATGAGAAAACTGAGACTTTGTTTGAGACAAAAGGGTCACAAGTCCCCTTGGGTAATAATGTATGGATCTCAAATATGGCTTTGGATGAAATTATGAGGGGAAAAGAGTCCAGCGCAGTATTTACAAAAACGTGCTATTCACTGTGGAATATAGAAAATCTGTATTACCGGGTGGTAAAATTAAAACAAAAATCTGGTGAATTAACAGAAAATTAAACAGCGGAAGCTAAAAAGTATAAAGAGCTAACACCCACTAAAAAGGGTGCTGTTATTAAAGTATATAGCATTGGCTGAAGAAAAGACAGATACCTAGTAACATAGTTGGTGAGTATATGGGAAGCAAAAAAAACAATAAATTATTTAATGGATCAATAACCGCTGCCCGGAAGAAACTTGATTATAGGGAATCCCTTAAAATTAATATTTCCAATCGCGCAACAATAAAAAAACGTAAATCCGAAAAAGTTGAACATGTAGGTAGGTTCAAACGTCAAAACATTGCAATTAATTCCGATGATGAAAAATAATTCCTGCTACCATGGTTTTTAGGAGGAATGTATGGGGCACCGTTTTTGTTAAAAGTATATATTTATAAAAAAAATTTTTTTTCATTATCTCAAATATTAGTAGGGGAGACCGGGGTAGAACGGGGTACCGGGGCAGAACGGTGTTTTATTTAAATTTCCCGCTGCTATCATTTACTAAAAGTCCAACACGTTAGTTGGTAATGACAAACTGGTTACCACAAACATTTTAGTGTGTTTTAGACTAAACTTGGTGAAATTTTGTTTAGTTTTATAACTTCGATATATATATTGTATATACCCATTTTCAGCTTCATTAGAGGGTTGTATTTTATGCACCCTGTGCCAAAAGTGGGCTAACAATTCGTGTGCGGGGATAGAGAGTGATGACGACGATGCAGAACTTGTCTGTGAATTGTGTAAGCCCAATAACACTTTTTTTTAATACGATAATAAAAAAATTGATAAGCATTTATATAATTTTTTTTTTGTATTTTGTTTATAACACTTTAATAAATCGTTCTGCTTTTTTTGAATTTGTACCACGTCTCTACCCTATTAAGAATAATTTTTAAACGTTAGAGTCACCATTCCGCCCCGGTCTCCCCTACATATATAATATATTATATAAATTTTTTAGTAATAAATATTTTTGGCACAAACGCCACCTTACATTCTTATTATATTTTTATTTTATGGAATCATGATATTGTCGGTGATCTTACAATACCTGCTATCTATCTGATTTTACAAATAATAATTTTTATTTAAATAAAGAAGCAACTAAATGTCAAAATTTTATAAAAACATAATGCATAATAAAACGAAACGGAAAATCTGATAAAATTATAAGAATATAAAATAGTATATTATGTATTAAGTTTGATAAAGGGCATTTTATATACGAATTAAATTTAGGCCCGAGCGAGCTTGCGAGCGAGTGCTTAAGTTAATGAGTGTATAGAAAAGTTTATAAACGAGGTGCATACTATACTTTTTCTACGACAAATACTTATTATTATCTTAAAATGATTTAAATCAAAAATTTGTATAGAGCGCCATCTATGAAACAACAGGGGAAACTGTCAAATGTCACATTTTTATATTTTATAAACCCAATTATAAAGGTTATAAATCGAAATGTATCTTGAAAATTGACAGTTTTTCACAGTGAAAGTAAAGGAAATGTTTTATGAGGACTTTACAGTAAAGTCCGTGCCCGAATTTAAGTTATAGTTTACTGCCGGCGAAATTAAAAGGTCAGTACAATGTTCATATAATCTTTTCAAATATTGGCGTTAAGAAACTATTTAATATTTTTGTATTTTTGTATTGAGATAATAAAATAATTTTCACATTTAGTATTATTTTACAAGAAAGGCACTTTATTTTAACGATTGTATGACATTTGAAAACTGTCAACTAACTTAAAACTAACTTCAGCCCGTGACTAAAAACCTGTTGCTAACTTCAGCCCGTGACTAAAGCGCCGTAAATCCACAACTTGTCAATGTGTATTTAAAAGGTCACTTATAAGTGACACTATAGTGTCATGGAAACATGTACAATAAAGGGCGTTTTAAAGGTGGGAGTAGAAAAAATAATATAGTAGCATGTATTGTCAGATCATCGAAGATATATAAGAAAGTATATTTTGTTAAAAATTATGTATTTCATTAAAAAATATTTTATTTTTTTGGTAACGTTTTCTTATAAATGATTATTTATAACAATAGTATCACCCACCAAAAAAGCAAATGTTGCGCCACAAAGTAAGTATTTTTAATTTATTATTTTCTTTAAAAAAAATAAGTTTTAAACCCTTAGATTTAGCTTAGTTAAAATAATATAAAATAATAGTTTTAAATTTGACAAGCAACAATTTTTAAAAAACAATTTAAACAATTTTCGTACGTCTACAATTTTCTACAAGATATTACGCGGATTGGGACATTATTCTTATATTTCGTAGAAAGTTGTAGCTTACTAATATCATAGTATGCTACAACTTTGAACAATTTTCTACGAAATATAACAATAATGTCCCAATCCCCGTAATAACTTGTAGAAAATTATAGCAAAACCTACAAATTTTAACAATTTTCTACGTTATATTACAATAATGTGTAGTGTCTTGTAGAAAGTAGTAGAAAATAATTAAATGTTGTAGCAAAGTCGCGTAGAAAGTTGTAGCTTTCGCGTTAAATGTTGTAGAATTATTTCCACCAGGGAAAACAGAGTAAACAAAATGTTGCATTTACGTAGATCATATAAAACCAATAATATTGC